AATTTTTAAATTGTAAATAAAGTAGTGGACTAGAGATTTATTTTAGAAATTATTAACTGATTGGTTAAATTGATAACAAATTTAAAAAATGAATGAATAATGATCAAAATGATGATAAAAGATTAACATTTTTCCGTTAAATCAAATCGGCGTAATATTGTTGATTTTAACAAATTAGTTTTCTGTCATTGCAAAAAAAATTTGACAAAATACATTTTAAAAATAATTCATTTTTCAGTACAATTTCTATAGCAACTTCTTTGTGATTCAATAATTTTTCTATTTTTTAGTAATTGTTACTACTCGCCAAATTACGCAAAAAATGACTGAACCAAAGAATAGCTATTATTAGTAAATTGAAAAAAGTTGCTTTAAATAGCAATATTGAACTTTGACCATTAATTTTCGTGAACTGAAATGAGCATTAATTTTTGCAGTAAAAAATTACTTTTTAGAAGTTTGTGACTGATTAGCTTAATTTTTGATACTGATTATACTTGATTAGATTATGCAATTTTAATTTTTAATATTATCGTTGTTTATTGCATAGAGATGAATATGATTTATTACTTAACCATAACATTTACTATTATACCTAATAAGGTAACTATGGTCTAAAATGACAAATTTATTAAGTAATTTATTATTTACTTGAAGTTTTTTAATTATTAATACAAATTTATTAGGTATTTGTCACGTGCAGATGGAAATGTCTCATTGCAAATAAATTAAGTTTGAGATTTTTCATCCTTTTCACGTTGATTAGTAATATCAATTTAAAAAATTGTTCAATCAAATGAAAATTGATTGACCTTTGAACTTTGAATTAATATGGATTTGCTGTTAATTCATTATACAAAATGCTTACCAAAATAATTAATTTTAGTTTAACTTTATTTGTTACTGATAGGAAAATTATATATTCGAGTATTGTATATAATTAATTAAACATAACGAGTATTGAAGAGATTCCTTAAGCATATATAAGGGTCATACAAGGTCAAGCTTTGGACTCACACTAGCAATTACTTATCAGAAAGATATGAGCAAAAAGTTTTATCTTATATGTTTTAAAGCAAATTACCTACGCTCGTTTCATTCCGTTTTCTTTTTTTTCAAATTCTGTAGCTATTTTTGTGCTAAGTTTGTATTACAAGTTACCGATTCCTGCCTAAGATTTTTATATACGCACAATTTTCTAGCAACATCTCATGTGCGATAAACTTAATTAAATCAATAATTAAAGGTTAACTTTTTCAAATAAAAATTAATTAAGCTGAAATAAGATTAAATGTTCCAAAGTTAAAAAAGCTGAATTAGAATTAATAAACAAATAATTTAAGTATACTTTTTCTTGTAACTTTTCGTAGCTTGCATTTACGTGATCACAAAGTTTACTGTGATAAACTTGTACAGCATTTGCAATAGCAAACGAATAAAAATACATATTTTGACAAAATGATTTTACGTCTCACACTCGTAAAATTTTACGTGAATTGGCAATTTTTTACAGCAAATAAAAATACTTCATTTCTGATGAAATAGCAAAAGAATTCTCAGTGAAAGAATAAGTGAACAAATAAATTAATCACTAATTTAATTAAAAAAATTGAACAAATCAAAAAGTTTCGAAGCATTATTTTAGCAACTAAAAAGTTTGTTGTACTAAAAACGAATTGCAAATTAAATACAAATAAAATTATGTTTTTTAATAC